GTTTTAGATTGAGCCGCTCCTAGAAAAAGGAGGCCTTTTATGTGGCCTGGCTCGTGCCTCTAAGCCCTACCTCTACGTCTATCAAGTGTTGTTCGTGTTAGGAATGCTCGAAAATGAGAGTTCTTACAATGGAGGAATCGAGAGAGAGGTGTGTAGGGGGAAGCACTATGCTAGCCTAGGGTTTGTGCTTCGGTCAGTAGATCATTCTTCGATCTCTCGATGGGAATACAAATCGGGTCATTTGTCTAGGGCTTGGGTCCTCGTTTGTCTTGTAGCTGGGGCCAACAAAAAACCGCAACCACTACCTACTAACCGCCACTACCCAGAGGGGCTCTTCGTTGGCTTGGGGGAGTTCTACCTAGAGGGGCGCTTCGTTGGCTTGGGGGAGTTCTTTGTCCAAACGCGTCACGCCCCCGGCATGACCCTGCCGAGGGAGTGGCCGACAGCCTCATAGGTGTGGAACGGGACGGCGGTGTGCTGCCCTGCGCGGCTTGGCAGAGTCGAGTGTTCACCCCGCGGGGGCTGTGGCCTGGCCAGGGCTCCCCTTAGGCTAAGAGCGTGACATTCTGGGGAGAAGATTTGGGTCATTTGTTCCTCCATGTCCAAGAAACAAGAGGTGGCATATTGGTAGCATGGCGCAATGACCTGCTCAGACTCTCAAATTCCATTGACGTCCATGATAAATGTTGGTGGTTCACAGGGGTATACGACCCTCATCAAGATAACTAGAAAATCGAATCTTTAGAAGAACTAGGTTAGAAGTTGTTCAATATTATCTAATTTTAATGATGGGTCGGTTTAGGCAATTTATCAATGAAATCAAGCTCATGGAACGTGGTTGAATGCGAGGGAAGCTCCAATAATTTTGGTTAGGTTTAACCGTGTGCTGTGCACTTCTATATCCAGCAGAGATTTGTGACCATTGTCGATTAGTTCTTGGGCTGAAAGGTGGGATGAAGGGTAAATGAGATACCAACCCACCCCAGGCCAGCGTCGCTCGTTTCCCCGGGCGGCGACTCAGCCGCGCCAGTGCTCCGCCCCCTCCTCGCTCTTCCCTCACTGTCGTCCCTCGCTGTCGCCAGAGCCGGCCGCCTGGTGCCCGCGTGGCAGCTAGGGTGGCGGCGGCAGGGCACTTCTCAGTTGGGCTCCGCGAGGATGGCCTTCTCGGCCAGGCGGCGCACAATGTCTTTCGGCGGCGCTAGTGTCTGCCGGCACTCCGATGGTTGGCTCCGGCATCGCTGTGGGCGGATCCATCACCCCTACGGGTGGATCTATCGCCTCCTGGCACACGGACTCAAGTGCGCAGCTGTAGCGCTGCCCTTGGTGGCAACATCAACTTGGTGGTTACGTTGGCATGCTAGAGTCGAGACTTAGTCGTGCGTCCGACTACGGTGCTCAGGTCTGGTGGCCGGATCTGGTGGCCCGAATGCCATGCGCGCATGTGTCGACATGCACGGGCTGCGAGGGCGCGGTGGTGGGAGGTGGCGACGACCAGGACGCCCCGACACGCAGATCCACGGTCTCATCTCCCGGATCCGGCGAGGTAGGGGGCGAATATGGCGAGCCCGAGTCCGGGTGCGCCAGGTGCCTAGTGTCGGCGTGCATGTCCCTCCTTGGACGTGTTTTTCCTGGGTGAAACCCTTGACCTTATGGTCAGACGGCGACATTAGTAGCATCATGTCCCTCCTTGGAGGTGTCGTATTGGAAACTCGTGCTCGGTCACTCTGCGACGGTGGCCAACGTCATCATGAGGAAGGTGGGGTCCTAGCTGAGGATTCATGTTTTTGGTGTCCACGGCGGAGGAAGGCGGCCAGGAGGGGCGTTGGCGCGACGATTGGAGGGTCTCGCATCTACTTGGCAGTGGAGGGCAATGGTTTGGGGACGGTACGCCAGTTGCGACCACGAAGTTGGCAAGGAGGCCGGCGTGGGAGGCGCCCACGAAGTTGGCAATGAGGCTGACGTGGGAGGCGGTGGCCACCAGATTTGCATTATCGAGGTGACCTGCGTGCAGTTGGTCCTACTCAGCGGCGACCGTTTCCGCCACGATGAGGCGTTCGTGTCGATGTTCCATTCGAGTTGTTTTCTTCTTCTCTTGATTTTGAGTTTGGTGCATGTTGATGACCCAATCCAACCGACCGTAGTTGTACCTGTTTTGTTTGCCTAGGGCTTTATCTGTTTTTTAATATCTCATTCGTTTAAAAAAGGGGTTTTCATTTCCAAAGGTTTTGGACAAAATTGCTAATTTTTTTTTTGGGTTGCAGAATCTTGGAGCTTGCTGGTTGGAGCGAACCTCTGTTAAGCTCAAACATGTGACGCGTGCCTTGCGCGTCCCCACCTGACCATTGCAAGACCGTCTGAGCTGTGTCCTATGAAGAAGATTGGCTGAGAAAACAATTAAAGAGACATTGTCTTGCTCTTGCTTCTCCTGAGAGGACAATAGTCCAACGTTCCAGGGTTAAATATTTAAAAGAGGAGACGCCAGCACATCCTTTTTTCATCACCAAGCAAGTCAAATGTAACAGCTGTGATCGTGGTGGGGGAGGTTGCCTGCTCGGTGCAGCAGGTTGGGCGTTTCCTGCCTGCCAAACCAAAGGCTGCACCCGGGGCGGGCCAGAAGCCAGCAGGCCCGCAGCTCGCTTGGCTGGACTTCAAGGAAGAGACAAAGGCTAAGCCCGTTGATCAGCTGTTGGAATTCGAAGTTGCAACAGTTCAGGATCCCATGCTGGTCGATGGCAAAAGGCGAAAGTGAACTTCTGCTGGAGGCTGATCTCTGTCTGCTGCCGCTAGCGGACACGGCGCATGAGTCCTGGGTAGCCTTGGAGCATAGTGCTCTCCCGAAGAGCATCTCGTCGCCGGAAGGGGAAAAACCATCAGTCCACTTTCCGCTTGCCAGATAAGGGCTTGTTTAGTTCGCAAAATTTTTGGTGAAATGATACTGTAGCACTTTCGTTGTTATTTGATAATTAGTGTCTAATCATAGTCTTATTAGGCTTAAAAGATTCGTCTCGTGAATTTCGTCTAAACTGTGTAATTAGTTTTATTTTTTATTTATATTTAATGCTTCATGCATGCGTCTAAAGATTTGATGTGATGAGAAATCTTGAAAATTTTGGTATTTTGAGAGGGAACGGTACCTAAGTTCAGGAAGCTGCGGTAGCGGTCCTGGTCGTGCCATCTGACCAGTCCACTACGCCGGCTTCGAGCACGCGGGAAGAGGAGCACTTTTCGGCGCCAACAATTTAAATGCCAGGCTCTGAGAGTGGGCAGTTGAGGGATGGTTGTCCAGAGCAGCAAGGCCCAACGATGCAGGCTGACGTTGCAAGATGGGCCTTCAGAACATCAAAGTGCACCCGTGCAGGTAAGGATGAAAACGGACGGGATAAATCCCGTTCCATCCACAACCGTATACCGTTTTTTCACGTCCGTTTTCGTTTTTGGGTTGGCTAGAGCAGCTTGTGTAATAGGCCTGATTTTCTTTGTTACCTGAATTCCTTCCTTCCCACCCCTGTTTGTCTTTATTAAAAATACTAGAGAAAGATTTTTTGCGGCAAACAAATACTAGAGAAAGATGGTTGTAAATGGCCCACATACACATGTACCCGGTGGAGCGTAGCTGCTCGCCGTGTGGACATGACCCCATCATTCATCCGCACAACCAAGTGGCCTCACACCTTCATAGATTCTATGATGAGTGGAGCCTAAAGTTATCTCATTGTAGAATACGCAGACTTCATTGTAGGGGTTCATTTTCTTTCACCTCCACCCAAGCACTAATTAATCATCTGTTTTCTTTTCTCTCATCCTCTTTTTGTTCATTTTCTTCTTGCACTATCCAGTGGGTAGAGGGGGCTTGAGCCCCTCCCCGCGCGAGATCCAGCCATGAGGTCGACAACATTGTATTGTACTCGTTTGGATCACGACGTGATATAAAAGTCATCTGATCTGTTAAGCTCGTTGGTTTGGTAATTAAACCGTGGGTGAGCGATATTTTCTCTCATAATAAACTAGCACCACCCCATTAATTCAAATACCTAAAACCAATCGTGAACATGCCGATAGATGAAGCAAGACGAAAACGCAATCAAACCATGCACTGGTTTGAAAACTCCGGTAATAAACGTACATTGGGTAAGAAAAACATGACGAGCAAGTAGTACAATGTATGCCACATAAATGCAGCATGTTCGCTTGCTCGTAAATGATCGTAAATTTTCAGTCGGGAACAGTGTTTTTCTTTCACACCAAACCACCCAGCAGTAAATAATCCACGATACGATACGGCCTCCCGAACAGGCCGATGAACTACAATACTCCTCTGTTCTTTCATTACTGTCGTTTGGACATGCAGTGGTAGTTCTTTTTTACGTCATTCTGTATGTGAAACGACAAGATTTTCAGACCAGAGTGCCGAAGAAAATAGAGAGAGATGGTGGCAAATGGCCCATATGGACATCTACCACGGTGGAGCGTAGCTGCTGGCCGTCTGCACATAACGCCGTCACTCATCCGCACGGCTAAGTGGCCTCACACCTTTCATAGGTTCACTGACACTTATAATAAAAAAAAGAGGTTCACTGACGAGTGGAGCCCACAGTACTCGACAGCCTCACACCTTTCATAGGTTCACTGACACTTATAAAAAAAAGAGGTTCACTGACGAGTGGAGCCCACAGTACTCGACAGCCTCACACCTTCTGGGGTGCGTCCACGTTAGCACCTCCGCTGAGCTGAGGCAGGCAGCGAGCCGCGCGCCCGCACCTCCGCGCACTGTAGAATTTTGTTTGTATTGGATAATAATTGTCTAATCGTTGACTAATTAGGCTTAAAATGTTCGTCTCGCAAAGTACAACTGTGCAATTATTTTTTAATTTCGTCTACATTTAATACTCCATATATTTACTACAAATTTAATGTGACCAGAAATCTTCTTTTTATATAGTATCAAAATTGGAAGTTGGGAGATAACTAAACAAGGCCCTAGCCACGGATGGGGCGCGGCGATGGCCCCCGCCGCCCGCCGCCTCGTCGCGCTCCTCAACGCCCTCCTCCTCATGGCCGGCGCGACGGACGACGGCGAGGCTCGCGCGCTTCTGGCGCTGGACCCATCGGGCCGGCTGCTCCCGTCGTGGCCCCCCCCGGGCGCGGCGACCCCTACGCGTCGTTCGAGTGCGTGGCCTGCGACGCGCACGGCGCCGTGGCCAACATCTCGCTGAAGCCTGCAGGGGAAGGGGCTCGCCGGCACGCTCTCGCCCGCCGTGGCGGGCCTCCCCGCGCTCACGGGGCTCTACCTCCACTACAACAGGCTCCGCGGCGGCTTGCCCAGGGAGCTCGCCAACCTCACCGACCTCTACCTCAACGTCAGCAACCTCTCCGGGCCAATCCCGCCGGAGATCGGCGCCATGGCATCCCTGCAAGGTGATTAAGCTTTCTGTTAAAGCTCTTGCTATACGGATGCGTGCTGAGATGCGCGCGCGTCCTTGTGGGGGTTGACGCGTTGAGTTCATCTTGGAAGCTTCAGCGTGTGCTCGCCGTTGGATTTTTATTTTCTTGGAAGATTTTGCCATCCCATGTTGCAACCAGGAAGCACATTGTTGCTGAAACTGCAACATTTCTTGGCCATTAGCTAAAACAAGCTTGGTTACAAACTTGCTACTTGCTGCTTACATGTTTCTTCTACTATTTTTGTCACACTTCTGGTTTTAGTGGATACTGTTCTAGAGCTTCCTGCTGCTCAGGTGGTTGACTAATCTGTTATTCTACCCGTACCAAAAATACTTAGTATACCGATCAGATGGATTCGAACTGATGAGTATAACTAAGATGTTGCTCCGTTCTTACCTGTCCTTACTAGTATCAGGATTAAATGGCTCCATCTAACACTGCCTCTCTTGAGCATCTCTGACCTCCCGATTCAGGGCTGTTTTTCAACCGACTAAAGTTTAGCTAACTATAATTTCAAGCTAAAACTTTAGCCAGCTAAAAGTTTTCCAGCTAAACTTTAGCTAGGGTGGATGTTTGGATGTTGCAGCTAATAGACTTAGCTAAATTTTAGCTGACTTTGATTGGGTTGAAATAGCTAAATCCAGCTAAACTTTAGCTGTTGCATCCAAAGAGGCACTCAATGCTGATTATCAGCCGATCCGGCTGGGGCGGGCTGGTTGGGCTGACTGGCCAGCCCCCTCACATAGATACCATTCACATAAATCAATCATAAGTATTTTTGTGTCACGTAAAAAAACCAGCGACAGGCTGTATGATGGCGTGCCCGCTGAACCAGCTGAGCGGGAGCATCCATTACAATCTACACCCGTTAAACACCCAACACACACCGCTCCCTCCCGTTCCCCTGCCTGGCCGCCGCCGTGCTCGAGTGCTCAACGACTCGCTCGTCTCCGGCTCTCCCTCCCACTCTCCCAGTCCCAGATCTGCCCGCTCTGTCTCCTCCGGCTCCCTGGCAGCCTCCCACCGCGCGTGGAGCACCGGCTGCGGTGGCGCCGGCGCATCCCCTTCTCCTTCCCTTCAGCACCACAGTTAGCCCCCAGTGGAGGAGAGGTGCACGCGCGGCAGCGGCGGCGGAGCAGCGCGCGCGGCAGTCGTCCCTCAACGGCGGCGCGTCGCTGGCGGTCGTCCCACATTTCGATATCCTCCGGCAAGATCGGCATCCTCGGTGCGGCCACTATTCTAGGTCTCCGAGGAGCTCCGGCGACATCATCTGGTGCGTGATTCCTCCCTCTTCTTCCTCTTTGTATCTCTTCTGTTGCGTGATTTATCCGATGCCATTTCCTGATGTGGTGTCGATTCGCTCGATTCGAGTGTGAGAAGGTCATAGGGTTAGAGATTGGTGATGTTTTTGTTGTGCTATTGGGATTAGCGAGCTAGCTACGGCCGTGCCGTTTTTCTGGAGCCACCAGGAGACGCGAACGCCTCCTTGCACGCGAGCAGGCCGCCCGAGAGCTGCCTCAACGCGCGGGCCACAGGAGCGTCCGCCGGCCAGAGCCCCCACTCCGCCGGCACCGGATCCCTTCCAATCCCACCTGCCGAATCCACACCCCAGGCAACGAACACGCACATTCGTTGCTCAACGCCATCTGCCAGGCCTCGAGTCCGAGTAACAACAAAAGCCCAGTAGCTGTCCATCTGCCATCCACAATGCTGGGAACTTCAGGTGAATCTTGTGCTATTCCAGGTGTTGGTTGAAGCCACCATCAAGCACCGGAGCCCATTCAACCAGCTTTTCGGAATTGGTTTGTAGTCTGACATCGAGTCAGAGTCTAATGCCAGATATTTTTGACGGGGACCCAGTTCAGCTCGTCATTCCTTCCTGGAGGGTTCTAGATTGCTCAGTAGGCGATGGTTCTTTGGTTAGCATCGGAGGTGTATATGTTTTATGGCGATTTCTGTTTTATGTGACTCAATTTTTCATCAATTTCTTTTTCATATTTTCAGGTCTCGTAGAGTAGTAGTCACAACAACTTTCTCTGTTGATAACCTGCTAGGCTACTATCTGTCAATTAGTTACTAGTAGTGGCTCTACCATAGGAAAATCATTTGCCTTCATCGGTGATCGGTCTGTGCAGGCTTTGTGGCATATGCAATGCAATATTTGACTGGTTTCAGAAATTCATATGACAGATGGGTTCTGTGCATCAAGCAACAAAATCTGATCTGAGTTGCAATTTTAGACTGGTTGCAACTGATATGCACCTGGACACATTTATGCATCAAGCAACAAAATCTGATCTGAGTTGCAATTGTAGACTGGTTGCAACTGATATGCACCTGGACACATTTATCTGCTGATGATGATACGTTATGAGCTGACCTTTATTCATTTTTTTTAGCAGACGATTACTATATGTAGCCTGACACTGTATGCAGAGGTTTGCATATAGAATCATGCTCGTTGCTTCCATGTATATACATCTTGTAGTTTAATTTTGAATAGTTGTAGTCTGTAGTACCCTCTTCTTGGCTATATATGACCTTGGGAGGTTATCTGGTCAGATAGTGAGTAAATCACAGATATGACCATGTATATTTGATTGTTCAATCGATCTACCACAGCCAACATGTGCATAGAGCTGAAGGTCATATATAGCCCTGTGTGACACGTAGCTGATGTGGCTCCGCGGAAGATGCAGACTTGTACTAGTTGGTTTTGGATAGCTAGGCTGTCTTGTGGCTATTGTAGTAGAATAGTAGGAGCTCACATCTTTTAACTGTGTTTTGCATATACGGTACACCAAAGCTATGTTTAGTATCCATTTCTTGATTGCACATTTATAAGTAGTAAATTGCACACTTAGATTACTGCAATTATAGTGTTTAACATGTGCAATATCGAGTCTTTATATATAACTTCCCACTATTTTGTTTTCCTTTTTACATTTGATTAAGCAGGAAAAACATATGTTCAGAAAGCTTGCACTAGGAAAACTCTTCTCTTAGTTTAATAGTCCAAGTGTACCATCAATTAGATTGTTTCATGATGAATAATATTGCTCTAACCTGGTTCTGGCTCAACTGAGCACACACCAAAGTTTGTGGGTATTCACTATTCAGTGTGGCCTGTGTGGGCGCCCGGTAAAAGTGGCAGGCCCGTTAGGATCTCCTAACGGGTTTATTCGCGGACCCGTTATTATTGCCTACTTACAGAAACAACTAACAGTGGTAGTTGGATGCAGATCTGATGGTCCACAGACGTCGCCTGAAAAAATGTCAGATTTCAGGCACCTAAAATATAGCAAATCCCCTCAATTTTGATGCGCGATTCGATTTTTGTTGATAAACTCGGTTGGTTAGTAGTGGCGAGTTGATTCGTCTTGATTGTTTCTTTACAACAAGACCTAGCAACGAAGCTGTAGGCCGGGTTCTTACGGCAACACCATAAAACACCCCTGGTGCCATGAAGACAACCTGCTCTAGATGTGTTGTGGCCATTTCATTTGGAGATATTTCATCGAAAAATACATGTGAATGTCCTTTGGACACTGCATGAACCCCAGGCATGACCTGCTCAACTAGTTGCTGTGTGTCCTCTTGACATGGCATTTCAGTGAGAACTTTACAAGCCTCAATTGTTTCGTGCCTTATCTCAAGCACAACTGTCTCACTCTCACTGAACTCACATGCTGAAACCTGACAACTTGTTGCACCTAATGCATGTTTCACATGATCCACATCTGTTAGAATGGCGCCTATTCTGTCTATTTGTGCAGTCATGTCTAGCTTCACTGATTCAAAATCACTAAAAGGATCAGACCATTTGTTGCCCGGTGAGAGAGGTATGCTGATCTTCTCACCATTCCAACACTCTCCACCTAGAGCTAGTTGTTGCAGTAATCCATCATATGAATCGTCATGAAACAGTTCCTCATCCCACACCACAACCTTGCTAGGAAAATCACCAAACACCTGGTCTGCAGCGTTGATACATTGCTTGAGAGGCCTGAAGTACTGATTGGGGCAAGCACTACACTTTCATGAGTGCCAATGTCAGATGGCATCTCCTCATCCCAAATAACTTCATGCTGCAAACTATTGAACAATTTATTTGCACCATCCCTGTCAAATTCTGTGAGAAAGCTGTCATTGCCATGAGGGGGCAAACCATTGGTGAGTAGATGAAAATTTGCCTTGTTGTCCACATCCAAGCACTCGCCAAACTGAGCTTCATGCTGCACTAATGCATCTTGCCAGTCAAGGCCATGCAATGACTCAGCATCCCATAGCACATCTGTGAGAGGCATTTCATCGAACGACTCATGTGCTGCACTTGTTGATGCCATTGGAGCCTTGAATCTTACTTGTGTGGCTTGTGCTAAATCACCATCCCTAGGAGGCCTAAAATTCAACACGTCCCTAGTAACCAAATCAGGAATCACTGAGGCGATGGAGAGGTTATGAGCACTAACTTGGTCCCTTGCCTTGGATGCCAAATTGTGCTGCACAGCCATCTGTTGATACGATGTATAAATGGAACCCATGCGGACGTACAGCTGATCAAGGCCACCTTGCATTTGTGACCACCACTCCTCATACTGTTGTGTATGAGCGCCTGTTGACATGGGCCGCCGGCGAGATCAAACCGGTGACGTGAGCTATCACAGGATGGAAATCGTGGTAGAGGATCTCAAGAACGAGGAGGAAGCGCGGCTTCCTAATCTCAGTTCTGTTTCTGAAATATCTTCTGTCTTAGACCTCTTCTCTTTATGGCTGCTACTTAGCACTGCCATGTAACTTGCCAGCCCACCACAAGGCCCAAAGCCTATGATATTCCAGCCCATATATCCTATAGTATCGGGTATGTCATTGATTCACATTGATTCGGTGTACCCTGAAATGACTTCAGAAAGTCATTGCTTGAGTTCTCAGGCATTACTTCAGAACTATTCATGTAGAATCTATGCGCTTCACTTGTCTCCTTATTTTGGGCCTGTTGGCAGAGCTTGCAACTTGCTAGAGCAGAGGGGCGACATAGTGTATTTTGGCCCCATTTGTTTCAGCTTTAGATTGTGGATTTTACATTCCAAAGGCTGAAACAAAGGCTCAGAATGGAATCCAGATGCCACAATCTGTCCCACCAGATACCACAATCCGATAATCTGCTCAGGTCTTTTGCTGGATTATGGCACATATATTTACTCATTTGCCATTATGGCCCACTGAAAATTGGATTGTGGAATCCAGACAAACAAAACTTGCTTAGATAGATATCTCTAGCTTTAGATGAGATATGTTCTTAGCTTTGACAAAACAAATTGCTTATTCAACATGAAGATTTATATTACCAAATGCATATTAATTGTTTATGTATCTGCTATGTTCCATTATTCATTATTCATTTGGATGTGTATTCAGTATGCTCAGACTTTTCTCTTTGTGTTCAATTATTCATTTGGATGTGTATTCAGTATGCTCAGACCTTTCTCTTCATGTTCCATTATTCATTTGGATGTGTATTCACTATGCTCGGACTTTTCTCTTCATGTAGCAGTATGACGATGTAGATGTTGAGAAAATGAAGAAGTATGTTCAGGAGTTGGAGCATAAAAATGCAGAACTAAAATAGAAGCTGGAGGCAGCACAGGCTCAACTCAAGGAAGGGAATAAATACATCAATTGTGACCCTCTGATTGATGAAGAACTTAGAAAACATTATGATGTATTCTTGTGCCCACATGAGTATGACTATTAAAAAACTTTCAGAATTTCTCGGTGATCCTCAGTCAAAACTCACTATGGATGTAAAAGTGCATGTAAAGAGAGTTATACAGGCATTGAAGCAGCTTGAGAAAGACCTGCACAAGCCCATATATATCCCTCCAAGTGTAAGAACTAGGAAGATGGCTAAGAAATTTAGAAGAATGACAGGCAATTGCTAAGTGTGTTATTATAGGAATTATTGAAGATATCTATCGGCTTCACAGACATGGGTTATCCCTCAATGGCAAGTTCACACTAGATAATGAGGTAGGACTCTCTCATGAGGGTAATGAGGATGTAAATCAGAAGATAAACTGAGGTAATTCCAGGAGTCCTACCTCACTCATTGCTCTTTGTAGTCCATTAAACACATCAGGTATTGTTGATTCAAGCATGTTAACCAAGTCTTCATCCTTAAACAGTGGTACACCATCTTTAACAGAATTTTCAAGTATAACACAATGTATTGCACCATACTATCAACAAATCTAGTGGCTCTTCTAAGACCTTATTCTTGTGCATGCTACGAAGATCATAAACTGCTCCAACATACGAGTTATCCATTGCCATAGTTGACCATGGTTCTTCGCCACCTCTAGGATAGGTAAACTGTATGGAAATAAATTTCAGCACTATCTTAGATTTCTTTTCTTCCTGAGGTTCCCTTTCCTCATCTTCAAGGATCTGCTATTGTAATCTGTCATATAAAGTGATGAAATGACTTTTTTCCTAATCTCGCTCAGCAAGGATATATTGTAGCGTATAATTTCTTGGTCCTTAACAAGGTCATCATAATTCAACAGGTCAAGAAGACTCTGCAGATCATTTGGTACAGGCAAACCACTATCATGAAAAGACAATATCTCCATAATAATCTGATGAAAATCGTTGATCATTTCATTTCTCTCCCTCTTGCATACAACTAATTTCAGAGCGAGATCAAACTTAACCTTCTTAAGATGAGTCCAGTAGAAGTTATCTAGTGTGAACTTGCCATTGAGGGACAACCCATGTCTATGAAGCCGATAGATATCTTCAATAATTCCTAGAATAACACACTTAGCAACTGCCGTCATTCTTCTGAATTTCTTAGGCATCTTCCTAGTTCTTACACTTGGAGGGATATATATGGGCTTGTGCAGGTCTTTCTCAAGCTGCTTCAATGCCTGTATAACTGTCTTTACATGCACTTTTACATCCATAGTGAGTTTTGACTGAGGATCACCTAGAAATTCTGAAAGTTTTTTGTAGTCAGACTCATGTGGACACAAGAATACATCATGATGTTTTCTAAGTTCTTCATCAATCAGAGGGTCACAATTGATGTATTTATTCCCTTCCTTGAGTTGAGCATGTGCTGCCTCCAGCTTCTATTTTAGTTCTGCATTTTTATGCTCCAACTCCTGAACATACTTCTTCATTTTCTCAACATCTACATCGTCATACTGCTGCATGAAGAGAAAAGTCCGAGCATAGTGAATACACATCCAAATGAATAATGGAACATGAAGAGAAAGGTCTGAGCATACTGAATACACATCCAAATGAATAATTGAACACAAAGAGAAAGAAAAGTCTGAGCATCTTGAATACATCCAAATGAATAATGAATAATGGAACATAGCAGATACATAAACAATTAATATGCATTTGGTAATATAAATCTTCATGTTGAATAAGCAATTTGTTTTGTCAAAGCTAAGAACATATCTCATCTAAAGCTAGAGATATCTATCTAAGCAAGTTTTGTTTATGCGGATTCCACAATCCAATTTTCGATTGGGCCATAATGGCAAATGAGTAAATATATGTGCCATAATCCGACAAAAGACACTGAAAGCAGATTATCGGATTGTGGTATCTGGTGGGATGATTGTGGCATCTGGATTCCATTACGAGCCTTTGTTTGACCTTTGGAATGTAAAATCCACAATCTAAAATTTGAAACAAATGGGGCCAAAATACACTATGTAAGCCCCCTCTGCTCTAGCAAGTTGTAAGCTCTTAACAGCCCAAAATAAGGAGACAAGTGAAGCCCAAAATAAGGAGACAAGTGACAAGAGCGCATAGATTCTACATGAATAGTTACGAAGTAATGCACGAGAACTCAAGCAATGACTTTACGAAGTCATTTGAAATTTACATTCTTGAATCAAAGTGAATCAATGTCATACCCGATACTATAGGATATATAAATTTGGAATATCATAGGCTTTGGGCCTTGTGGTGGGTTGGCAAGTTACATGGCGATTGCTAAGTAGCGACCATATAGAGAAGAGGTCTAAAGACAAGAGAAAGGCGATAAGATATTTTGAAGCAGAGCTGAGATTAGGAAACCGCGCTTCCTCCTCGTTCTTGAGATCCTCTACCACGATTTCCATATTGTGATAGCTCACGTCACCGGTTTGATCTCGCCGGCGGCCAAGGGTTGTGACTGTGGTATCAGAGATGACTTTCCTCGGCATGGGTGGTGGGCAGCGTCTACTCCTGCTCCGACGCTAGTTATCCACTTCTTGACCGACTGGTGTGGTGTGGCGCAGATCTCCCCAATCCAAAGGTTGCTCCATCGATCCGGTATTTGGTTGTTGCGGGAGACGCTATGGCTTCTCCAGTCAGCGGGTCCCCTTCTACCCAAGGTATTTGTCTAGCCTTGGTGGCGCAGGTGACAGGTTCGTTGTGTGGAGTCCGGTGGCGTCTTTGTGGTACTCCGGCGTTGAGGTGACGGGTACTCGGCGTTGAGGTGGCAGTACTACGAGTGGAATCCGACGGCGTGAAGAGGGATTCAGCGTTAGAGCTTTGGGATTGTTCACTAGCGATCGATCCGAGAGCGGCGGGGTTTAGCGGCATGTTCGCGTGTAAAATTCCATAATCTGCGATCGAATTTGATTGCGGTGGCAGCGAATGATGAGGCTTGTGAACACGCTGTATGGCTGCTATGGCTGAAACAAGAAACGCATACGAATTTGAGGCTGCGGCTGCTGCAACCGCCCTCCACGGGGAGGGAGGGAGAGAGAGAGGTCATAGGAAAGAAGGTCACGGAAAGAAGACTCCTTTGCTCGGGTACATGTAGATGAGATGTGGATATGTGAGCAATTTTACGACTTGCCCTCCACTTTATAAAAATTCTCGCAAATTTTCTTGCTATGATTTCCTTCTTGATTTCGACATTCTAGTCCCTAGAACTTCTATTTTCATAAGATACCACTTCTATTGTTGTAGGAACTTCTATGTATTCACCATTTCAGCTACTATATTTATATATTTATTCTGCTATACATGTTGAATGCAAATTTGGTAAAACACCTAGGATAGCGGCGGTGGCTCGAATCGCAAGGCGGCGTCAGGCGCTTGCTTGTGGTGCGACCACCGGGTGAGATGGCCTTCTCGAGGTTGGGCGGTAGAGCTTGTGGCCAACTATGGCTTGCTCGTCCATGAGGGACCGTCGTTCGCCGCCGCAACTAGTAGCTTCATGAAGGGAGCTCCCTACTGACTTGAGGCAATGCCGCCTTGGTGCTTGTCATTTACATCTTGTTGTGGTGGGGGCGCCAAGAGGTGGGCTAGGGTGTGGGGCGGCGATGGGGATTGGTGAGGCATGCTCGGAGGAGGAGGAGGCGGCTTGGGCGATGTCGACCGCCGCGGGCCTAGGAAAGGAGTGCTAGAGGAAGATGACTAGATAGGGTGGTTTTGTAAAAAAATTATCCTTGTCAATGCCCTACGAGGGGTATGGTCCTAAGTGGCACACTTTGACAAGTTCGAGAGAGAGGCGATTTCGATTTTGAGAGTTCATAGACCTAAGTGGCATAGAGCCATAAGTTTAAGGGCCGCCAATGTATTTAACTCTAAAAAAGTTCACGTCTTGGCGTTAGTGCGTGCCCTTGCCCTCTATGCCTCTTGGGCTTGGGGCTCTTTGGAGAGAGGCTTTTGATCATCGGTTATGGATAGTTTCCTACTCCCTCCGTCTCAAAATATTCAGATTTGTAAGGTTACTTATTTTTTGGATGGGGGATTATGGTTTATTTTTTTAATCTTGATGGGTTCAGCTTTGATTTTTGTCGGCGGCACTGTACCTACGAACAACTCCAAAGATGTTGTAAGAGCATCTTCAATAATTTACAAAAAAATTGTAAATTAATGGATTTTAAGTGGCTAAAAAAGTTGAAGCAAATTTGTTGCATTACTTCAGTAATTTTCAAAATCTCGCTCCTAAAAGATAGAAAACAATAAGGAACTCTGGATTATTTTCAAATCACCTCAACTACTTTTAGGGCTTGTTTGGATCGGAGGATTTTCATAGAATTTTTAAGAAATCCAATCCCTATGCTTTGCTTATATCACACGGTGTTTGGAAGGAACGAGGTTTTCCTTTCCGGTGGAAAAGTTTGTTTTCCGCCACGAAATGGAAGAAATGAAACACCCACTTCAATCTCTTGAATTTTTTTCCGAATGGAGGGATAAACAAGTCCGTATTCACTGGAATGGAGGAATAAACATGTTCTTATATTCCTATGTTGCAAACACTCATTCTTATAAAATTCCTGTGTTTTTCAATCCTTTATTTTCTCCCTACACACATTTCTTTTAAATTCCTGTGTATTTTCAATCCTCTGTTTTCTACCTAACACTCATTTTCTATTTTTGTATATTCTTCCAATCCTCTATTTTGTATTCCTTTGTTCCAAACATGCCCTTATACTTTTTTTTCTCTCTTATACATTTGCATTTGAAATCCTATCTTTCCTTCTTATTCTTCTTCACGTCCTTCCACCTTCGATCGACATGCACGTGTATATTTCCGCACGATTGGATCGATTTCCATGTGCGGAAAGATTGGAAGTTGAGATAAGAGCATCTCTAATAAGAATTTCCAAAACTTGGTCACACCCACCATCCGCCCTCCTAGCAGCACTCCACATCCTATACAACAGTGGTGTTGCCCTAATAAAGTCACATCCAACCACCCGCCCTCCCAGAACACTCCACCTCCCTATACACGATCTCCTCCATCCTATACAATAGTGGTATCACCCTAACTAGGTCACATCCGACCATCCATCGGCCCTCCCAGAGCAGATGGTGTGTACGAGAGGAACCTAAGAAGACATCTCCATCAATGGAGAAGCTCTACTTATCATGCCCGCATGCACCTCCAACCAGAAAACTCATCGCACGATGTCTCTAGTCTAGTACCTTAGGCGCTGAAGCAAGCAACTAATGAAAAACTAACGATTACAAACTTAAGGAGTTAATCCTGAAATATGCATTTCATATTCTTCGTTCCTATCAGTAAATTCAGATATTCAATGTTTGATCCTGATTCTGTTTCCTGTCATCGGGCCAGAGGCCCAGTGCTATCTATACGAATGGAGGCCCAGGTGGCAAGTTCATTGTCAAGATTGCTAGAGCAATCAAATTTTCTCCAATCTTCTAGGGAAAATTGGGTGACGCTCATCATGGGACTTCGTCTTGAACCGCATTTCTATCGTCCATTGCATTAGGATTTAGGACCAGCCGACCAAAGGTGCCGAAGGCAACCTGACGCATGCTGTTAGATCATGATGAGGTGAGGATGCCATGTATGCACAAGAGGACGTTGCATACTGTATTTCCATCTATTTTTTTTTCTTTCCCGGAATAGCCTTTGCAGCCCAAACGAGAGAGAGCTCCCAACGGGCGTCTTCTGCTGGGCTGAGATATGTATGGCCTCTTGCACCGAGCCAGTTTGTGAGGATGCATTATGCATTGAAAAAGGAACCCCACACACACAGCCAAGCTCCTGTTTTGTTCGGAACTCCGGACTGATTTAAGCCAATCCCCAGTTTTGATCAGCTGGTTCGTTTCTTATTTAAGAAAATCCCCAGTTTTGTTCGGGCTCGTTCGCCTCTAATTTAAGACGCTTCTTTGACTGGCCCCAGTTTTGTTAAACAATAAAACTAGTGCGACGCATTGCATATTGCACTGCGCTGGACTTGGTGCTGCCAAGTGCAATTCTTTTTTACTTGAATGCTCAAAAGGCTGGAGCATAGGCCTTACGCAATATTGTGCAGAGGTAATTAACAGTTGGAATCACTCATGCCATCTTCCTTGCACATGACAACCATCCTGTCAGTAGCACACGCCTAAGATTTACATCCTACACTTTTTTTTTTACAACTGAACCATGAGTTAGCCCACTAGCTAAAAATTATATGCATCAGCACTTCATTGTCACATTCTGTTTGCTGTCAGTACTGGTCGTTGTCGTGTACCCCGTGTCCTCAGTCTTAATCATGCCCTGCAGCAATTGCAGAATAAATCATACTTGCTTCTATCTAATCTTATCTTACTAACAAAACAGATAAAAAATTCTAATTGGTGCGTGCCCTTTTTCAAGGATTGAAAACTAAAAGTTACAAGAATTGACATTGTTGATTAAGTTTATCATACCCAAAACAACTACGCTTTGGTCGCTACGTTATGTGATCGGCAAAAAGGCTGGTCAAATGAATAAAATGGATTGCAAAGAACAGGCAAGTTGTAGATTACTTTGGTGCTCCATTTAACACACTGAAGCATAAAAACATGCAGGCGCATAAAAACAAATATATAAACCCCTATACCTCATAATATACTGCATCATCCACTAATTATATTTCCCTATGCCCGTCACTAAAATCATGTGACGTCATTTCGGTAAAAAAGAAAAGTAGTGAGCATCTAGAAGAAGCAAATGTATCCCATACGAAACAGACAAAAAAGGGGGTTCAAGTGATCACTTATTTAATCCATACCTCAGCTATTGGATATTCTAGAGAATGATTATGAAATGATTGAGTGCACATCATCATTTATCATTAAAAGAAAAAGAAATGCAAGCAATTCAGGTAATTTTTAGATCATGTGTATGGATACAACAAAATGGGTCAGAATTCCATATTTCTCAGGTGGTATCCTGATTCCTGTTTGTACTTGCCTGGTAATTACAATGAACTAACAATGCACTTAACTCGTTGCATTCATCAAGTCATGATTTTTTTTCTCAAACTAAGCTGGAGATCTGCGTGTCATTTCATTAAGATAGAGAAACACAAGACATGCTAGATTTAGAAAGAAACCCAGCAAGCCGAAAAAACAAGCACCACGCACCCACCCTAACCGAAAAGGAAGGGGTGGGGGTGGCTCTATACATGACCAGGGTCATGAAATCAGAACCACGAAAAAAAACAAGCTTAATTAGTTCTCACCCATAAACCTCCCTCTCAATTAGAACTAACATAAAAAACAAGTGTATTTAGAGCCAAAATCAATGTCCATTGATCAAAAGTTGAAAAAAATTAAATTCAAATTGCAGCCTACATTCTACAACAAGATCAGTTTTGTGGGACTAAAAGCTAGCTAATTCCAGTTGAGCCGTAGATAGTTTTTACACCTGCCACAAATCAGACACGATAATTTGTTTGACAAAACAACCACCATAGGAGTGCTAACAAGACGGAGATTGCACTAAGAACCTGATGGCTGAAAATTTTCCTAGCACTAAGTACCTGATTGCTTCAAGGATTTCACATTCACAAACACATTCCCCTTTTTTCTTTTCTTTTCCTTTTTTTCAGAAAGACAGTTGTAAGGTTAAAGAGCTAGACAGGTGACAGAAAACTGAAACCCAAGCACATAGGGCAAACATGTTGCCAGAGGTAACCAAACTAACCTTCACATTTAGGGGAGATGCTGCTGGTTCTTCCATGCCTTGAGCTGAGCAGCAAGCTGACCACACTTCTTTTTTGTTTCCTCCAGTTCATGCTCCAGGTCTCCAATCTACAAAGAAGCAGCATTCAGCTCTGAACAGATAGATGATATTTTCACTTCGCTTTTTAATGGCTCAGCATGATATGCATACCGTCTGCTTCAACTGTGTATCTCGTTGTCGAAGCTCTTCACGCCTGTAAAAATATTTTTCAGTTTCAGGGTGCAATGAACCAGGGCAGGATGAGTTTAACAATACCTCGCAGAACCCAACCCCATGAACTGAAAATGTACATATGTATCATATGTAGCAGAAGGGTGTTTATGAGTACATATGTATCATATAACTGGAATAGTACCGCAGCTAATCAGGAAATCACTAAACTAAGATCAGCTGCAACTTTCTTTACCAAGATCAGACAACGCAAGGTTCCAAAAGACGCTAGGCGCTAGGCTACTTCCTAGATGGATTAAACGTAGATTAAACGCGATTAAGTGTTTGTGCTTATTTATTTATTTATTTATTTATTTTTCTGGCAACACATGTGGCTCAGATTAGATGCCCAACTTCAATCTCAGAAGGAATTGTAACACATTAAGGCAATTTCATTCCAATTCTTACAAACTTGCAAAGAAGTGGTGAAAAGACTTGCAATTTTGATCCCCACACATCCTGTTTCCCTTTTCCCTGGCTCTTCTGCGTGCTTTTTTCCTGCTCTCCAGCCCGCATGGCCACACATAGCCCATCAAGCCAGCCAGGCTACCGCTTTTTCGTGTTTCTACGCCGCTTAAGCACTGCCTCACGCCTACGCGCACCACCTAGACATGTCCAGAGTTTTATTGGACGCCTAGGCCCTAAACGAGACGCTAGGGGTCCGTTTCAGGTTTAATCGAGAGTAAACGTAGGTTTAATTAGGTTTTTTCGAACCATGAGACAACTAAACTTCTACAAGTCTGATTAGCTAGATTGAAGTTACTATGCAGCAAATATGGCACAGAAGTTTATAATGTCCTTGAAAGTGCAATGGATATTTTGAGTTACTAGTGTTCCAAACCAAGTAAATACATCCTCACCTCATGTGTGTTTGCAAGGCAGGTCTGGACCTTAATTTTCCAGAAATTTAAACTTTATGCAGCAAGGGCAACAGAATCTACTAGTTGCTTCTATGGCTGGTGGTATCGTACTTTAACAAGTGTTCCAAAGGAGATGCACAAAGGACTTAATTCCCTGATCATCCTTGTTGCTTGGGAGCCCTGGAAGCAAAGGCAGCTTGTGCTTTTGTGGGAGCTCGCACAGATGTTCAGACCCTTTTATACAATGTGGCTGTGGAGGGCAGTTTGTGGTGTCTGGCTGGAGCTACGGTCCTTCAGGAGCTCCTCATAAGGTTGCTATCCCATCACCTTTAGGGTCTAGGTAGGTTGTGAAGGTCGCAATCGTCTCCCTTGTTCGAGGGCTAGTAAGGCAGGGTGTGTGTTGGGTTTTTGTAAGGGGAGACCTCTTGACTCCCTGCCCGTTTTTCCATACATTTTGTACAGTCTCTTTCTCTTAATGAAATGACACGTAGTTCTTCTGCATTGTTAGAGGAAAAAAAAAGTAAACAGTACTCCATTTTTTTTTCTCGAACACACAAGAGAGTTAATATCATTATATATTAAGAAGAAAAAGGGGTATAAAACCCCAAAACCCAAACAACAACAACACACACCACACCTCACTTAAAAAACCACTGCTCGCCTATTACAAAAAAGACTTGACCTCGACCAGGAAAGAGAGCCCTACTTTGCACTTGGCACTAGAGCGAGGAGATGAGAAATTCCTCTAGCCCCAGCCAGACTCCATAGAAGTAACTCCTCTCTAATGAGCAACACAACACCATTCAGGTTGGGGATAATCCCATCAAACACGCAGCAATTGCGATGACTCCAGATTGATCAAGCCACCAAAATTATGATAGAATTGAGACCTTTTTTAATCTGACCATCCTAAACAGTACTCCATTGGTTGCCCTGCCTTTTGCTAAGGGCAACTTTAGTTGTTCAATAACTTCACTGCAACTAGGTTAAGTAAAGTACGTTCTTTTCTTAAATTCAATATTAAAATTCTCACTGTGAGGATCTCCCCCAGTCTTTTGCCGTAAAAAAAAACTAGGTTAAGTAAAGTGTGGCTTGCCACATGAACTGTCGCAGCAAGGTTGATAAAAAGGCTAAGTTATGATGCCTGGGTTAGGCTTAGGCACTAACAAAGGTATAGCTTGCTACAGTTATTGTGAAGTTTAGGGTTAAGCGTGAACCCTACACGCCCTAATGTATGTAGTAGCATGCCAGTCATACATGTAACATAAAGCGACACATACTCTGTCCATGAAATTTATAAAGATTATTGAGGATTTTATAGGGATGATTATTGATAAGAAACATGATGCACAAATAAAATGGAGGTAGTGTATATAAAATGGACAGGACATAATGCTGCAATGCATTTATTAACAAAACCATGCTCAAACTTTTAATTAATAAGATCAGTAATTTAAAATCCATGCAGAAACTCTTCAATGACTGCAGTAACCATGCATAAGGACTATCTTTCCAAAACTCCCCAAGATACAACATTAAAGCAATAGTAAAAGCAATTTTACCTTGAAAACAGAGCAATGTTTTCTTCACTCAGCTTCTCAATAAAATTAGGATCTAGAACACCAGAGGAGCCAATCTCCACCAGATCCTGAACGAGGCAAAAAAAAAAAAAAATGTTAGGTGCCAATAGTAATTTTACTTGGTGGAATGCTATGATTGATTAACAAAGATTGTGTTACAAATTAAAAATAACCTAGTAGTAAAGGTTGTCACAACACTGGCCAGTTGCTATGAACCAGGGTAACTGGGATTTCTAATTGATAGAAGGTGGAGACAGCAATAATAAACTGAGCAAATTTCACAAAATTACAAGTATGTCAAATAATTATCACAAAATTGCAGTTATTTACACCTATCACAAGAAAATTTATATTTTGCACAATTTATTGGTAAACTATACTTTTGGTGCGCATCGACAACTATGCTGTTATAAGGATGGCTTCACATGTCAAACAGAGAGTCGGTATTATTGAGTTGCATGCCTTGACCAGTTGAACCCAAAAGCTTAAGGTGATGGGGAGAGGTGGGCAATTCACTTATACTCAACACTACCCCTCACGTGGAGGCTCCCTTAGGCCTCGGGGCGTGGAATAGGAGGCGGACAACAATTATTTTATTTAATTGTGCCTACCAGGATTCGAACTCGAGACCTCTGGCTTTGACACCATATTGAGTTGCATGCACTGACCAGTTCAACCCAAAAGCTTAAGCTGATGGGGAGAGGTGGGCAATTCGCTTATACTCCAACAGGTATGTTAAAGCTTTATACACAGACTGGCCTCTGTACTCTCACTCCCCACCAAAATGACATGGTGTTAGCACATTGGTGGCATTGGACCTGGTGTAGAGTTGAGAAGAAGCACACATAGAAGGTTTCAACTCCCTTGTAATTCTAGACCCATGGTGGATCTGGAAACACCGGAACAGGAGTTTCTGATGGAGTGCCTCCATGGGTCAATGTGTGTCGCAGAAAATTTCTGATGAGGCAAGGCTATTGTGTCTTTCAGGAGCAAAAGAACTCAGCGCATTATGGAGTGGTGGTATTGTTTTAGTAAAGGTTTTGTGTGTGTGAATTTGTGTGTCACTTCTTAGGAGAGTACATCCGTACTTGCACCATTTCCTCTCTTTACTACAAAGATATTATTCCTGCACTGGCCAACTGGACGTCTAAGTCCAACCTGTATGATTAGCTTCTGTGTTGCCGCAAAATCAATAAAGGAAGCGACAGACATGTAACCTAAGGTGTGCTTGGAAGGGCTAACGAATAAACAAAGTAACAAACATTCATTAGCAACATTAGTGGTAGCTAACAGTGTCTTTTTTTTCACATGAGCTATGATGGGGAAATAAAAGGATAAAAACGCCTAACTAGAAACAAAACATAATTGAAAGCCTAAAAAGAGCAAACCTCATCCAAGCCTTCTGACTCCATATTGTTCTCTTGTGCTTGGCCAGACGATTGCAAATGAGAACCTGGCCAAAACAGAACAAAGCAAGAACATTAATTAGATAACATAACTTATAAGCTATCATAGATTCTCATGTAGAAAGATGCTTAAAATACAAGGAAATCAGGATCTAAATCACCAGTCTATAATAAATAAAACCCACCATTCCAAGTGCAAGAATTTAGATCAACAAAGCAAAGAATGGATGTCACCGACAGTATCTCATGCTACAGCTGCTATAATAATTTTTCCTATGCCCCTAGGGCGCGAAATTTTCTCCATAAATGTGCACTAAGGCCAAGCACTGGGTGTGCCCATATTGCCAAGGCCAAGGTTCAATAGAACTTTTCATATATACGAATTTGACATTAATCAGAGAAAAATGTATGCCTTTGACCTTGCTGTTTATTATGACAAGCTGACACCAGTGGATATTCAAGCTTGCAGTGCATCGTTACATTTGTGTTTTCAGTATTTACTCCATTATTTAGTCAGATAATGAGCTTCAACTGAAGCAGCATCAAAATAACCAGGCAGATCTCCTAATGCAATGGCAGGCAGATCTCCTGCGTGTTTGAGGGGGAAAATATCACATCATTTCTCGACACAGAAGTTTTGCAGACTCAGCTACACACATTCATAAAGCATTGAAAAAATATTTTATTTTATAATAATCAAACCACCACAAAATGATAAAATACTAGTACAAACAAAGAACAGGGTAGTATTGAGCACCATTATTTGCTAACCCAACAGTTATGTCATCGTATGTCTCTGGTAGCAAGTTTGACGACAGCCCTCCAGTCCTTCGGGCACTGGAAGCTTTATGGTGAACTTGAGTTCCAGGACCACCCGAATCTTTGAGGGTGGCCTTATACTGGGATCTTAACTGTGGATCTATTGGCTGGTAGCCAATCAAATGGCACCTGTCTTTCCTGCAAAGACAGATTCCACTCAAATTTGATCACCAAGACATAAACAAACATTTTTCATTTCTGCAAGTACTGCAACATTTTAATCCTTAGTCAGACATAGTACAAGTTGCAAACACCAAATACCATATAGTGCTCAGTCCCTAGTAGTGTTGCAGATAGTTAATGCCAGAATAACTTGGGTGGTTACAAGGGCTATTCCTTTTGCTATGTATTCAATGTGGTATAGGTATACACAGTGATGACTCTAATATAGGAACAAATTGTCTATTTTCCTATAAGATTGAGGTGCACAAGGAAAGATCTGAACGAAGCACTTACCAGAAATCAATAATAATTTGTCTAAGTCTTGCTTCTAGCCGAATAAACAATGGTGTCCTCTCAAAATCTTGTTTGTCATGTGCTGGTTCAATAAAATTTGCTTCAAGTACACCTGAATTGTGACACTTGTCATCACAGGGAGAAATAACATGAATAACACTAACTGCAGTACTGATTACTGAACATATGAAACTCACCAACCACACTTCTCCCTCTGCTAGATCCTTCTTGAAGGACCTTCCAGAAAGGCTATAAAGGGGGAAGGTAGCAGAAACTCAGTTCCAACCACAAAAAAAAGAAGATATAATATTTGAATCTCTAGAACTGCATTCAAAAAAAAGAAGAAAAAAGAGTCCCTAAAACTGTGCATTTAAGATGATTGGCTCAGCTCAGAAACATACAATTAGAAAAATATCAGATTAATGAGCATTTAGATAATTCTCACTATGCTAAGAAAAAACAGCAAAATTATTGCAGAAAGTGTACAACTGCCAGAACATACAAAAAAAATTGCTAGAAAACTTGATACCCCTAACCCTTACATAACAGGTTTAGATACCATTCAAAAGAATGGAGATTCTAATGTTTAAGCTAGGACTAAAGGCATGAGACATTGATTGGACATCAGCAAACATCTAAATCAGATATTGTCATATTGAAGGTCTTGAAGATGGAGCTAAATATTTCTACACCAGTAATAAGACATCAATCGGGATCACAGAGCGCAAGCACATACCAACTACAATTATTGCAAAAGATATAATTTAAAATAATTATAAAACAAATGGGCATTTTTATCCCATTATCCCTACTGTAGTTTTATTCCACGAGTTGAATTATCAGGAGACTGCAGACGACTAGTTGGAAAGTAGTACCCAATAAGAAGTCTCTATTGCCTATCAATAGCTGAAAATAGTCCTCTCCCAAGCTCTGTTTAGAAACGCAGCGCCTAGGCGCTAGCTAGAGCAGCACTTCCTAATCTAGCACCTAGGCATTTTCTCCACTTAGCACTTAACGAAGTTTTGGGCTTGATTTATGTACGAAAATCAGATAAATTAGAGATGAGATGAACTATGGACATATTACTCATGGATGCATGTATATGCCAAATTTTATTTATTTAACATGGCATTACTTTAACCTACAGAAGGTACAAATGCCTAGCCACACTAGTAGCTAGGTGAAGTGTGCCCAGCAACCTAGCACCTAGTGCTTTCTGAAATATGGATTACAGGTATTACTTCTGGTACATATATGCAGTGTACAGTTGGCTGGCATGCTTCTGCAGTACATTGTACATTAATTATGTTAAATTATGTTAAATATCCCAAATTCCACCTACCCATAAATGTGTACTATTGGCCGATAGGAGAAATGTTGGTTTAAAATGAAGCTAAACAACATGGTGCGTAATGAAAACAGAAACTGCTCTAAAATGGAGAAAAGTAACCAGATGTTTGATGGCAGGTGGGGATAGATGTTACCATTATAAGACGATCTTTGTGGTAGACATTCATCCCAAAAATGCCCAAAATAGGGGCCTCCTTTGCAAAACCAACATCAATTTTTACCAAGGCCTATATAGATAAATCGAAACATAGTAGTAAAGAAACATAAACAGATAGTATCATAAACAAAAGAAATGTAGCTGTAAAGAAAAACTGAAGGAACCATTTCATCACAAAAGAAAAGTTAAAGAATGGCTAACCAAAAACTGAAAAGAGTGACTGCTTTTGTAACTTCTGACAAACTCATTGAGCCAAACAGGAACCATCGATGAAATTCAATGCGCATTATTACCTGTTGTAGAGACTAGAGAACTAAGAAACAAGAAACATGGGTGGAAATTGCACAAATTTACTTACCACATGGGAATCATGTGCAGCTTGAGGTTTGTAAGTAACGACTTTCTTAAACTTTAGTTCATCAGTGATAAATAACTGCTCAACAGGTTTTCCTCTTAATATAATTTGGAAATTATCGAACTTCCTGAGGTAAAGGATGGAGGTATAAGCCTGGGTAAGGAGAAACACATGTTACCAACCAGATAACAGATAAAGAATTAGGAAGGACAAAAGAAAATCAAGAATATAAAGACTAAAACCTACTCGCAATGAAAATCTGAGTCTGTGGGATATGTGTTGCTTAACAATTTCTTTCTGACTCTTTGTGAACCCCCCACTTGCACTACCTTGATCTCTAAGTAATATGTCCTGAAAAATGAGCACCAGAAGATAAGGACATGAACAGTCCAGTGTTAAAAACAAGCGCATGCATGGTGGATAATAACAGTAAAGAACTGAATGAGGCTGTGCAGTGCAAGAACTGAAGAAGTCTGGAATCAGTGGCAAACATCATTCAGTTTCTTAATTCTCATGTGTGACATTTAAAAAAATCGCAAATATCCTGCTCTGCAGCAAAATACAACATAGGGACCTCTGTTTCCAACAGTTCACAAAGCTAAACTAAATGTGTATCTTGGTATTCAATTCCAGATTCCTACAGAGCATTAATGCCATGGGAGAACACAGTTCATCAAGTATACATATTAACCCTAGGACAATTATACTTACTCTTTTCCTTGAGAAAAGTCAAATACAACAAATCAGTCAGGTTGTTTTCAGAGGAATTAAAATTAGAATGATATAACGCAAAACCATAACTTCACTAGCAAGTTTTATAATCATCTTTAACATATCTAATCTGCCTAATCTCTGTTAGTCCTATGTGCAAATAATTTGTTTGGTTCCCAGGAATTGAGAGGAATTGGAAAGTATCTAATAACAAAATGAGAAGCACTTTCTAGATATTGGTTTGAATTCATGGGATCCAAACAGGCCCTTTGAAGGAAACAAACACAATCGAAAAAGAATACAATAACATGTATTGTGGTTGTTGCTGCCTTAAAGGCATTTTCATCAGACAAGGAAAGTCACTCTTTACAGTCCACATACATTGATTATATAACATTTCTTACAGTATGTGAATTCTGATAGGATAAATGGAACCAAACAAAATGGACAGCATGGTCTTGCGATGAAAATTATATGAACACTCACCTCATCATCATCCTCAAAGTCAAGTTCCAAAAGGCCATCATCATTCATCCACAAATTGTACACTACCACTTTAGTTCCATGACTACCAACATCCTGAAACTGAATGCATATGAACACTATCAGTATAAAAGTAAACTGAAAAATTAGTTGCTCATCAGCAAGGACATAACCGACCGACTTGCTTATTGAATAGCTTCAGAAAAATAAGATAATCAGTTTAGCTTGTCATAAAAGGATTACAGCCATGTAAAAAGCATGCATGCCTCAATGCATCGGAAATAGTACTGATAAAAAAATTTGGATGCCACTTTGGGAGAGGACAAAAGAAATTATGAGTAAGGGAGTAAGGGCACAACAAAAAGATAACAACAAACATACTTCTACCCAATTCTTGGTCATGGAACAAAGGCACATTGTATTTCTCAATGTATGTATGTACAATTCTACCCCTGGATGTATCATCCAGTAGTATGCATTCACTGAACTATTGAAGGTTACTTTGGTTCTAGATTTGATATGCATATACTCCCTCAGTTTCGCAACAGGAGGTTCGAGGATAAGGAATACCTACCACTACAATAAGCCAGGTTATATATTGGGCACTCTTAACCATTAATGGTAAACATTTTTTTTTTCTAGAATACATGAGGCGGGCTGCGTATCATTGTATTAAGATAGGGAAAGGAAAGGCTCAAATAGCCAATACAAAAACTCACCACACCACACACACCTCGGATTTTTTTTACTATTACAAGCAGCGCCTGTTCAAAAACAAGAGGCGACCAAAAACCACAACTACAAGAGCCACTAGCCACCGTGACTAGCAGCAACCAGACCTCTGAGACCCTTGGCGCCTGCCAGCATCCAGTGATCAGCCTCATCCTGTGCAAGGAGAAGCGCCCGATGTAACCTGGGCGAGACACCATTAAACACTATGTCGTTCCTTTCCTTCCAAAGGATCCAAGCACCCACCATGATCAGCGAGTTAAAGCCTCGCCTAACGTCCTTGTTGAAAGTGCTGCCAGCTTGTTGCCACCAATCAAAGAACCCTGCCGCACTTGGTTGAGGTGCAACATCCGGTAATCCAAAACGACGAAGCAGCTGGTGCCAAAATTGCCGTGAGAAGACACGTGAACATAGGAGGTGCTGGATTGTTTCATCCTCCTGGTTGCAAAATGGGCAATGCTCCGGATGGGGCAGACCACGTCGAGCAAGTCTATCAGCCGTCCAACAACGGTTATGTGCCACTAACCAGAGGAAAAATTTACACTTCCTGGGAGCCCAATTACTCCAAATCAATTTGCTTGGCTCAAAAAGGATTGCCCCAAGGAAGAAAGCCTCATACGCCGATTTGGCAGAGAATTCTCCTGAAGCCTCAAATTTCTATTTGTGAACATCATCAACCTCAGGTTGAAGTACTACTTCCTGGACCAAGTCCCAAATATCTAGATATTCAGCCAAGATTGCTACAGAGTAGTGGCCTTGGATATCTAGCACCCAACTATTTTCCATTAGCGCTTCCCTAACAGTGCGCCTTCTTGCCTTCCTTTTTGGTACACATGCAAATAGATGAGGGGCCAATAGCTCAATAGAAGACCCATTCAGCCATTTATCGGTCCAGAACTTGGTGTGCGCCCCATTGCCAACCGTTAAGGTCACGGCCAAGGCAAAAAGAGCTTGGGCATTTCCATGAATTGTGACAGGGAAGGCTGCCCATGGCTTATCGGGTTCAGTTTTACTTAGCCACAGCCATCTAACCCTGAGAGCCCAACCAAACTTCTGTAGGTCCAAAATACCCAAGCCACCCAATTCCTTCGGACGACTAACCTTGGGCCATGCAATCAAACAATGTCCACCATTTGTCTCCTTCCTGCCTCTCCATAGGAAATTAAGACGAATCTTGTCTACAGCCTTTAAACACCATGGAGGAAGCTCCAATGCAGTAGCAAAATAGATCAGAACGGAAGTGAGAACTGATTGTACATAAGTAGCCCGACCAGCCCTGTTCAACAGATCACCCTTCCACCCTGGCAGATGATCAGCAACTTTTTCAATCAAAGGTTGCAACTGTGCTCGAGTTAATTTCTTGAGAGAAAGAGGAAGGCCGAGATATTTGCAAGGAAATTCCTGGATTTCACATGGAAAATGAGTCTGCACCATAGCCAAGTCATCCTCAGAACATTGAATAGGTGAGACACAGCTTTTCTGGATATTGGTTCTGAGCCCCGTAGCAGTACCAAACAACTGTAACAAAGCATCTACCATTTGTAGGTCTGTAGCGACCGGACGAAGAAACAGAACGACATCATCGTCATAAAGGGAGACACGATGATGGATACTTCGAGTGGAAAGGAGCTGCAACAAACCTTCAGCGCTAGCTTTTTCAGTCAGGCTATTCAGGACGTCCATCACCAGAATAAAAAGCATTGGAGACAATGGGTCGCCTTGCCGTAGCCCTCGCCGGTGATAAAAGACCTCCCCGGGAACCCCATTAAGCAACACCCTAGATGATGATGAGCCAAGCAAGCCACCGATCATATCCCGCCAGATGGGCCCAAAACCCCTTCTCTGAAGAACCTCTAACAGAAACGGCCATGACACGGAGTCGAATGCTTTAGAAATGTCCAGCTTCAAAAGGATCCGTGGCTGTTTTTGTTGGTGCAAGAACCTGGTGGTTTGTTGGACAAGAAGGAAATTGTCGTGGATGCAACGCCCCTTCACAAAAGCACTTTGGTTGGCCGACACAAGCTCATTGAGTCTCCCTGCCAAGCGGTTGGCCAGCAGCTTTTTGATCAACTTGGCAAAACTATGAATGAGACTAATTGGTCGAAAATCCTTAACCATTGTCGCATCATTTTTTTGGGTAAGAGGGTTAACAGGGCTGAGTTAATAAGATGAAGATTCCTGTAATTCTCTCGCTGTATAGCTGCAATGGCTGCCATTATATCCTTCTTGATGGTTGGCCAACATGTCTTATAGAAACGTCCTCTGTAACCATCAGGCCCTAGGGCCTTATCTGGAGGTAGGTGCTTGATGGTACCCCACACCTCTTCCTCAGTAAAAGGTTGGTCCAGGTCCGCGAGATCATGCTGGCTCAAATCTAACACATCCAAATTGATGGTTAAGTCTCGCTGGGCACTTGTACCCAACAATTGATTATAGAACTCAAAGATTGCAGCAGCCTTGTCTTCATGATTCGTCAGCACTTGTTCCTCTGAAACTATTTTTGAGATGAAATTCTTCCTCTTTCGATGGCGAGCATGAGAGTGGAAGAGAGCTGTGTTAGCATCACCATCCTTTAACCAACTAATCCTCGACCTGACCCGAGCAATTGTTCTCTGGAGAGAACTCAAAGCAAAAGAATGTTTCTTCAGCAGAATGCAGCAGCCAGAGCTCCCCTTCTGAGAGCTGTCGGGTGTCCTGAGCAATCTCAAGTTGGTGAATAATTTCTCTGGCCTGGCCAGGCCAAGCTGGGTGCCTGGGTACTGATATGACCAATGCATTTTTGGCTCCAACTTTGTAATGCTCGGGTTAATAACTTAAACTTCAGAGACAATGTCTCCAAGGGACAGGATCTTGCTTCCACCGAACCCCAGGCCTGGGCAACTACCTCCTGGAATCCACCCAAAGCGAGGCCAAAATGGCCTTAAAATGGAACCTGCCCTTGCCAGGCAACATATCATTCAACGGATGAGAGGACAATGGTCTGAATCCTGAGAAGCTGCACTTTGCAGCAAGCAGTTTGGGAATAAAGTTTCCCACTCAATAGAAGAGAACACCCTGTCTAACTTGCTAAGAGTAGGTGAATCACCGCCACTACTCCATGTGAATTTACGACCAGTGAGAGGCAATTCCTTGAGAGCCAAGTCGTCCAGAGCACGATGAAAACGACCCATCATAGCACGATTCAAGTTTGCATTGTTCTTATCTTCGTCCTTATAAATAAGATTAAAATCCCCAGCGATCACCCATGGGCCCTGGCAGTGAGTGCGAATCGAGCGGAGTTCTTGCAGGAAATTAATCTTCTCATCATTCCCTTGTGGCCCATACACGCATGTAAGCCACCAAGGTTCGCCGTCAACCGGGAGGAATTGAATCAAGCGCAATGAGCATCCACCGAGTGCTTCCAGCAGGGACAATATCTTGCCTCCACGCAACCAGGATCCCTCCACTGGCACCTACAGATGGCACCACCGTGAAATGACAGAAATCTGGACCCAGCGTAGAAAGAACAAGCCGCTGAGAAATAGCCTCCATCTTTGTTTCTTGAGACAAACAACATCCGCTCTAATGGACTGAACCAGCGTGTGAACAGAGTCTTGACGTGCGGTAGAGTTTAAGCCCCACATTCCAAATGAGAATCTTTCTTGGGATCCATAAGTCAGCGAAAAGAAAGGCGACCAGGGAGCATAACTCAGCAGGTGGTTACCATCACGCCAGGGCACCTGTAGCCCTCGGGAGGAGACCAACCAAACAAAAGCTGCGAGAGCCTGAACATGGGACGCCGAGAGGGAGCCGCTGAATAATTTGGCGTAGTCGTCTCTTAACTAATGGATAATATGTTATATAGCTAATTCTAGTCCAAGGAGATTGATTTATGAAAAAAAAATTCATTCACAACAAAGAACCAATAGGATTATGACCACCAAAAAGGGTTAAGAAGTTGTCTAGAACAGCAAGACAATGTTAGTTTCAACCATACAACTCAAGGTAATCTACTAAAATTATGATGGGTATCCTATACTGCTGGGACCAGGAGCAGTCGAGCAGGATCGACTTGACAGGGTCCTGAAGAGTCGCATAGCCCAAGTACTCAACAATAATCGGATTTTTTCTACCTTGTGACAAATAGAGCCCCATCCCAAATATGTGGGCTAACATCTCGTGCAGAATCACAATAACTCATTTGCAGGAAAAAAATCAGTACTGGATTCAGAATGACTGGAAAATGGACTAAACATTGCCTGGAATGAATGTGCCTCACCTGCTGCAGAAGTTCTTCCTTCGAAGAAAAAGGGGACCAATCAAGTACTATCTTCAGACTACTATCCCAATCACCCTGTGAACCATACACCAACGGTACAATGTCCCCATCTTGGATCTTAAAATCAAGCTGCAATAGTAATGGAAAGTGTAAGATCTAGACAGACAAAACATTGCCTCAAACACAAACAGCTTGTAAAATTCACATACCATTGGGACAACTATGTCATCCTTCATTGTCTTCCTCAAAAAAGTGTAGGAGAGCAAACCTATACTCAATGTAACATTACTGCAAGAGAATGAACTATATGAAAATCATTGCTAATTACAGAATAAGATTCAGTAAGTACCATGAATTCTTTCAAAATAAATCAAATCCAAATTCCATTAAGAACATTTACCTTCCACGGATTGCACGAGTAAAAACAATTGCATCTGCACCAAGTCTCATTGTGCTTGTCTTAAAGCCATTTCCATCTGTGCAGTAGAAGAAGGTGAGAAAGTAACAAGAGAGCAATAGCAAGAGTTTTATACATGAAACTATAAAGCAGCTAGATACTAAATAAAAAAATTATACAAGTGTTCGAACAAAAATATCATCATGAGCTAGGACAAAGCAGCCTTTTCTTTGAATGTAGACAGTAAACAGTCAGATCTATTTGAGATTTGATAATTCATAATGGCAACAACATTGCAACTCAAATGGAAGAACTTAAGTTGTTTAATACCAATCCCGTAATGGACATACAAGTAAATATCAAATATGTTTTTTTTTGTGAGAAACCGAGCTTATCAACTGTAGCACAGAGTGTCATTTGAAGGTATACAAAATCCACCGACAACTTAACAAACATATACCTAAAATTTAGGGGTGCTCACATGACGGTGATTGCTCTAGGAAATATTATTATTAGTTCAAACTTGGATTATATTGGTAGCCAAAATTCCAAATCTCCACTATCCTATCCTGTTACAGACTCTATTTGGCACAAGTGAGAACTGGGAAGGTCCACCTAGATTAGAAAAAGAGTAGCCCACGATGTAAGGAGAGACAGTCGGTACGTTATGAAAGAGTCGTCCTAAAAGGATTATATACTAAATGCTTCCTCCAGAAATTTGAGTGCACAAGCCTCATCAAGATTAAATCATTTGAAAGTTCAATCATGTTAGTCAAGGTCGTAAAACCATCCAGTTCAAACAAAATAATACATACACTGGCCAATAGTGGTCTTAGATTTCTTGGTTGAGAATCCTAAACTCATGCATCGACGGACACCTTCAGGATCCATGCCGCCTCCATCATCTGTGAAAATCCATGTTAACGGAAATCAATGTAGGACAAACTCTGATCTACCCCAACCTGTTCAACTAATTATATTCCAACCTCGAGTTTTATACCTTGGAAAACTAGCATTGAACTATTGTCTTTCAAATTGATGCTTTTATCCACTTTTATGAACGTGGCACCATTGCTTCTCTGAGACAATATCAGAAGACAATTACAGCTATTTGCAACATATACCAAAAACAAACTGAGAAAATTCAGCTAGTTTTAAGAGAAATGCACAAAAGGTTTAGATGAATACTACAAACCTCATCCACCGCATTGTCAAGAAGTTCAGCTATAGCTGCAACAAAAAAGAAGGAACAAAATGTAAGGGAATATTGACCAGACATACAGATATCTTGAACATAAAAGATGAACAGATGTCATTCCCATCATAATTATCAATCATCTAAATCGTCACTATTGTTCCAATAAAACATTATTTAGGGATGACAGGAAGTTGCTAAATTGCCATGATGCCAACAGGGATTATGTGCTCTAATTAACAGTGGCGGAGTGTGAGGTGAAATTAAGGGGGGGCCATTTCAGTATTGCACAACACAAATGGTCATCAAAAGAAACTTCACAATTGCTATGTTTTGCAAAGCTACACTGTACAGTTGATTGTAATGGGCATAGGAAACATGAATAGCTTGTATCAATAGGCTAGTTTGCAGCTTGCAGCATGGCTATTGGTACAACTAGTATGCTTCTACAGGCTATGCTCATGCAGAGTTTGAAATGAGCTGAACATGATTACTAGTATGTAGTTATCAAATTGTACCAGCGCACTTTGTGTCTCATATTGCATTAATGTTTAGCGGCAACATACTAAACTTAAGAGTAGTCAATAGAGGGCTCATGTGGGGAGATAGTGCATTCAGTGGGCTTGCATGGTGCCATGCAGAGTGCAACAAGCAAATAGGATTTACTCAATCGAAACTTTAACAGACAAGGGGGGCCCAGTTTGCGCCTCCACAAGGCTCCGCCCGTGCTAATTAATAAATAACGAGCTGCTCATCAGAGAGAGAGAGACACCGATTGGCATCATCTACCATTTCCAGCACAATCAATACACACAGAACTATGAAAAAGTTCCACACTCAGGGGCAGTCGAAAAAAAGTTTCTTCCATATCCAAAACTTAATCAGAAACAATGAAACTAACAGGAACCACTGCAGTGTAAGCGTAACCCATTAATATCAATCAAGGGACTACTCTTTCAATTACTAAAAGATCTTCTCTCTTTGCCCTAACAAACTTGGTTTTATCTCATCCAGCATAACAGACACATCACACTACTAACTAAGTATCACAGTTAGATAATCAGCTATTTTTTTTCTTCCATCACTTATCAAATACGGTTCAAAGTGTAGCAGCAGCAACAGTGCCATATAGAATGCATTTAATCACATCAATCAGAGGATGGATCTATTTTGTTTTTTGTTTTGTGAAAACTAGAGGATATCGCTTTCCCCTCCTTGCCCTAACAGGGTAACAGCAATAAGACTGAACCAATCTGCAGGCATCACCAACCTCCGAAAGCCCACTTGTGGGAGGTGGCGTTGGTGTGGAGGAACTTAGGGTGCACGCGCGCGCGGTCGAAGTCCCCCGCCTCCAGCGCATCTGCGGCCACGAAACAGCACCATCAGCGAGCGGCGACGCGAGAGGAGGGCGGAATTCGAGGAGGTGAGGTGAGGGACCTTGGAACTCTCTAGTCGGCGCAGTGGGACCCTCGTACGCGCCGGCCTTCCAGAAGCTGCGGCAATCGAGGGCACGTCCGCCGACGCCACCGCTGCCGTCCATCGCCAGCGGCATTTGAGGGGGCGGGGCCTTGGATGTTAGGATCTGCAGGAGATCGCCGGAGTGGTTTTTACGAATTTCTCAAAGTCACAATGCCCTAAAATCAAAACCGCTCCTCGCCGTCGCATCCTCGCACGTAATAGGCCGATGGATGGATATAATGGTGTAATTGGGCCGGAGTTGCGTGGGCTTTTAGTCTTGGGAGTCAGGCAGGAGATATTGGGCTTACTGATCCAGATCCAGGCTGGAGAGGAAGTTTGGGTGTACTTTGTTGTGTTCACGAGTTTTTTTCTTTGAATCTTGGTTCCTGTTGGATTTGTATTATTATATGTTTCATTGATCTAATGAAAAGCACTCTTTTCTCAAAGAAAAATACAAATGGACAAAACCTACAGGGCTCATATCTTGTGCATCAAATTTGCATATATTATATATTATACTAATTTTAAAATTCCCGAACTTGCAAAAAATAATCAACACAACCTGATAGCATAAAAACATTTTGTTTTATATGTTTTATAATTGGATTTTAAACTACAATTATAGCCATAGTCTGAGGTCACTAAATGGGATGCAGCAACGCAAACAGATGATCGCACGATAGATAAGTCCAGTTTCAATGGGAGGTTTCACGTTCCATCTTCCAAGACTTCTTGGGTTGGAAACGGTGTAGATAAGTTTCATTCATACGAAACTTATTTTATCACATAAAACTTTCGTTATCTTTCTCTTCATCTATTCCATAACATGCAACTCATTGAGACAGACCTGAGAACGGCTAATAATAGAGCCCTCTCTTAGTTGTATGTACATTATCTCTACAACTAAAAAAATCATACGGTCAACGCAGGACGATAGATCGTGCGACCCCGCGTCTCGACGGCAGGACGAGTACACGTGCGACACAGCAGCCTCCGCTCCCACGCCTCCCACGTCGCCGCCGACGCCCGCCTCTGTCCCATCCCGCACAGCGCACTGAGCCCCTGCACGCCGTCGTCAGCGCCAGCACCGACGTCGCCCAGCACGCTTCGCGACGGCCTCATCTCGTGCCGCCGTCGCCGCGTCTTCCTCATCTCGCGCTGCCACCGCCGCGTCTTTCTCATCCCGCGCCGCTGCCGCCGCGTCTTCCTCTCACCGGCCAGGAAGACGACGTCGTCGAGGGAAGCACCGGCGCCGTGCGTCCACGGTGAGCCGCCTGGATGTCGTCGGTGAGCAGGAACTGAGGGATCACCGCGACGTCGAAGCCGTTCCCAAACCAAGCAGCTCATGGCAGCTACTCTCCCTGCGTTGAGCGCCCTCTACCTGCATCGAGCTCCTCCTCTCCGGCCACCGCCCTGAGGTCCCCATCAGCCTCCGTCGCCTCCCACTCGACGACCGTCGCAGCCACCCCCAATCCGGTGCTCTCCCGATGGATTCCACCACCACCGGCCCTCGTCCCAACGCCGCCACACCGGTCCCTCAAGCGCCGCAGAGGCCCCCTCTTCCACCCTCGCAGCAGGTGATGCGGCGGCATCGGCAAGGCCAGCACGCGGTCCCAGATGCGGCGTAGAAGGTTGGAGCCCCCAAGAGGAAGTTGTCCGCCTCCCCAGCAGCCAAGAATGTCCCACCTCTGTATGACCTGCCGCCGGCAGCCACCGTCTTCAACAACGGTCTGGACGTGTCCATGGAGGAGGTCGGCATGGACCTGTTCGGTCCAAGGTAAAGCTTTGACCTTTTCCCCCTTTAATTTTGTTAACGAAATTAAAATAATCTGGTCACTATCTTGTTCTTGTTCATGTATGGACCAACCGGTTTGCTTGTTCAGGCCTATCTTGTTCATGAATGTTCTTGTTCAGAATACATGTTGGAGCTTTCAGATATATATAGCAGATAATATAGAGCTTTCAGATATATAGCAGATGTTCTGTTGCATATAGTTTGAGTGGTTTTGGAGTATGTCTGTTGTGTGGTTTTGGAGTATGCTAGGATTGTTTGGTTAGTGTAAGCTGAGGGTGGGATGGATGCACGATTCAAACCGATTAGCGTCCTGGTGTCGTGCTAGGTTGTAAACCTGAATAGCAGGTGTGTGGTTTGGCTGCATCATTTTAAAGTCAGTTTGTCGCAACCACAGGTGTGTTGCAGTTCACTTTCGTTCTCTGATTGATTTTCCCCCTTCAAACTGATGTGATGTTTCCCATTGCCATAACTAATTTAATGGATTAGCTTATGTACCTGGCGTGATGCCCATTACCATACATAATTCAACAACAATGATAGCATCATGCATATGCCATGGGGGAGTCCACTATCCAAAAGACAGCACAGATGATTGCCTCTTAGTGAATTCTGCGCACTCTTGGTGCGGCAGGATGATGGCCACCCAATTCAGGATGAAGCGCATATTTCAATTTCTTAGCATTTTGCCGGTGTTGATTTGTAGCACAATAATCAATATCATACTCTTTTGGTGTATTTTGTGTGTTTTTAGCTTTCTGCCTTTGTGAAGTTGGAAATATGCATGATATTGCTTGATTGGAAATGGAAGATGCATATGTCCCAATGAAATTATATATTGGCTATTCCAAGAGCTTGATATCCGCTTTAATGAGACAATGTCTGAATTGCATTAAGGGAAATTATGTAATAGTAATTCTTACATGAGAGGAGATTGATGCAAACTATATAATGCATGCCTTTACCAAATTAGGTTGTGTTCAGCTCACCATATTCATCGATACTGAGTGTTGCTATATTTTTGGATGCTCTTATAGCTCAATATTATTATTTTTATAATTACGTGCAGTCACATTGTGTGCCTTATTGATCATATACACAAAGTGAACTCCAGTAACTTCCAACAATGATATGGCATGATAATCCAATGTTCTATGACATTCTCGAAAAAGAAAAGAAATGAAGAAGATTAACAAAGGAGAGGGGAAAGATCGTCAGAAATCAAAACTCTAAACGCATTAGAATGAGCTACAGTGTACCTTCTTTTTTCCCCCAAATTTCAATCTCTCTTGTGACACAGAATATAGATTTGAGAAAGTTCTTGTGACACAAAATATAGATTTGAGAAAGTTGTCCTTTCGAATGCGTGCAGTTCTGCTCTGGATTTGTTTAAATTTCTTTTTTCTGTTGCCTAATAGATCTGTAAGATAGAAGGAAGTTTCATAAGGAGAAGAAGAAATAACTAGCCACATCAGATAGCTTCGCCTGTGAGAATTGAACCTTAACGCTTCCAAATTTTTAATGATGAGATCAGAACAAAAGAGAAAGAGTTGATTGTAAAGCTGGATTATGATAGAGTTAACTGGTGTTCACTGTATGCAGGTTAGAAAAGAAATATAAAAGGACCCTTGCGATGCTCCAGACGATCAGCGTATATCAAGGTAGAAATACGAAATGACATCTTGCCTTGCAAAAAAATGTAAGTATTATTATATGTTGATCAGACATATTTACAATTACAGTTGCAGTATATTTTAAGGAAAGAGGAGGAAAGAAGAACCTAGCAAAGCGAAAGGTCATAGTAACCACGTGAGTTCTAAGAGGTGAGCCAAAATCACTTGTCGTATTAACATGTATGCCCTAGATTATTAATTTCATAGACTTGGGGATCTAATATAAAGGATCAGTGTTTTTAATGGTTGAACAATTATATTGTACTTTTCGACATTTCTATTCATAAATCTAGGATTTGGTGTTCAGTTCAAGACACTGGGGTATGCACTACATATTGAATTTAATCTGTTTTTTTTTTACACTTGTGTGGTTCCGGTTGATAGCTGAATAGCTTTCCGAGGATGAGATTGCTGGGTTAAGACGGATATTTAAGGTGCTGAATGTTAAAAGCTACAGTTACTTTTGGTGATCTTATAGCAGGTTTAAGGAAATGTGGTACTGAATTTGGAGGATAGAAAAATAATTATATAATGGAAGTGTTAACATGAGATATTTTCTTGTTTGACACATGGCCTATTGTTACTATGTCACTCATCATTTGTCAATCAGTGGTTTATAAGTTTCTAAATCTTTCGCAGGCTGATAAAGACAATACCACTGCAGCTCTGCCTCTTAACGAAATAGAATGGGAAGTGCACTCGATGATAGCTTTTACTTGCTTCGACAAAGACAGGAGTGGTAATATCATAATCCCAATCATCTCGAGGACAAGTTGGGCTGCCCACTACATCTCTTGTACTGCAGCTGAAGTAAAAAATCCAGTGGTATGTAGTCAATCACGTTGTTGATCATCTGCAATGGTAATAATTAGCCATTTACATTTTGGTCTTGGATTACCATAAAGTTCAGTTCCAATATAAAATTCTACTTGCATAGTATAGCAATTTTTTTGCCCGTACTCTGAGCCATGTCTGCTGCCGAGTGGTCACCGTCAGGGAACTGGTGGCTACACTTGCAATATTTATACATAGGATGTATAGATGGTGAAAATTTTAGCTATGATTGAGTTGAATTCTTGTGTTGCGTGTTCTACTTTCCATACCATTGCACATGTTGTGAAAAATGATTTTTCCTTTTCCATTCAAATTGATCATGGCTAATTGATGTTGATTGTGTTTCTGAATTTCTACTTCCTAACTGGTATCCAGGTGCCAGGTACAAGTGCATGCTCAGCGTCTCAAGGGATGATGAGGGTCAGTTTCACAGACTAGGTACAAGTGCATGCCTGGCGAATTGTTTCAACATCCAGAAAAATATTTAAAAGTAGCTTATTTAAATTGTTTCAGTATACAATATTTGCTGGTAACCTTTGGGACCTTCCTTAATTAATTAATGTCACCCGGGGGTGTTTTCTCCACGGTTTTCGTTCAAAAAAA